CATCATTGTTGTTTGGCGGGCCCGGGCTGGGGATTTGAACCCGCCACCTTAGGTGTATGTGGCTGGTGCCTTAGCCACTTGAGCCACAGGTGCCGAGCCACTACTGTTAGTTCTTGACAGTGAAAACACCAAGACCATAGGGCCTGATGTTGTGTTTGCCCGTTTAGATTTACTCTTCCCAGCCACTGGGTACTTCTTAATCCTGGGCAAATGCTTACCATTACCTTATATAAGATTGTGTGGATGGGTGAGCAGAGTCACTTCTGCTGGGAAAAGTGTGAGCCCATGACATGGTAGTGGTGGGCAGGGGAGTCTGACCAGTGCTTGCATGGAGGTTATGAGAGCTAGAAACCATTTTGGAATCCCACACACTAGCTGGTTGGGATGTGACCTGACAGGTGACACAGATTTGGGTGGCGACTTAGTGACAGAGCCTGGGAAGAGGTTAGAATAGGGGTCAAGAACAGAGAACAACAGGGGCTAGAGAAGTCTCACCCATGGCCTTGTGATAGTGGGCTGCTTAGTGGTGGTAACAAGGCCTTCCTCTGTGCTCAAGCGTGCCTTTTATTTTCCTGCAGTTACGCTATGATGATGAAGTGAAGCGGGTAGTAGCTGAGCCGGTGGAGCTGGCCCAAGAGTTCCGCAAGTTTGACCTGAACAGCCCCTGGGAGGCTTTCCCTGCCTATCGCCAGCCCCCCGAGAGTCCCAAACTTGAAGCTGGAGACCAGATGCCTGAAGCTAAGAAGCCCGAAGCCAAGTAGCTGCAGGGAAGGCATGTTGGTCCTAGAAAGCGCCTTACCTATAATTGTGTGTCCATGTAAATAAATTCCTACTTAGACTCACCACATTTGTGTGCTTATAATGGGTAGAAGTGACACTTTGTTTTGTTTTTTATTTTCTTGCTTATTTTTTTCTCTTTATTTCTTGACTTTTGTTGTTGTTGTTGAGACAGAGTCCCACCGTATGACCTGAGCAGAGTTCAATGGCATCATAGCTCACTGCAACCTTAGACTCAAGCTGTGGGCATCCCACTGCCTCAGCCTCCAGAAGCTGCTGGGATTACAGGTGCTCACTGCAGCTCCAGCTGGTTTTTTTGTTGTTTGTTTGTTTTATGAGTCAGGGTCTCACTTTCCGGCAAGTCTCGAACTCCTGAGCTCAAGCAGTACTCCCTCCTCAGCCTCCCACGGTGCTGGGATTACAGGCATGAGCCATAGCACCCAGCAGAAGTGACACTTTGATTCAGGAGAAGGAAGGTACAGACAGGTGTTTGCCTGCTTCCTTAGAGACACCCTACCAAACTACAATAGTGCAGTTGTAGACATGGTGAACTGCAGGCCTGGATATTGAAAGTTCTTATAGTCCACAAGGGCCAGGATGGGTGTGGCATGGCCCCTATTGAGAACTGGAGAGGCCTCAACAACTGCTGAAGAAAGCCCTGTGTCACAGCAGACTGGTAGCAGTTGATAGATCTAGGAGCCTGGATGAAACCAACCAGTGAAACCCCAGTCTACTTCTTATTCTACCCAAACATCCACAGGGTTCCATGAGCCAAGGGGTCAGGGCCAGGAAGAATCACAAGTCGTTTCTAAGTCTTGAGCCCTGTGACCTGTTGTAACGTGATCACCCATCACTCTTGGACTTAGGGATTGGCCTAGTAAGTGGCCTGAACTGAGAATGTTGTTAGTAAACAGTCTCAGGGCTGGGGGAAAAAATCCTCAGGAGTTATATTGGCCTATCTTCCAGGAGAGGATGCTCCCTACCCCAGCTGGTCTGGTCTGTTCAGTTATGGCCTGAGTGCCTGAGATTGGAGTGTTTGGCTCTCCCTGTTCAAAGGGCCGCCCAGACAGCCCACCATGCAGTTGGAAATTGAGACTTTGGAGGTGATGCTCTTGGCAGCTGAGGGTCTCCCTGGAGGCTGGGCTGGGTATTTGGGGCAGGCCTCAGTTGCAGAGGTTGTTTTGAAGTTGGGGACAGACAGTAAACTAATGTTACTGCTTAGGCTCATTCTTACCCCTTCCGAGGGCTAAACTAGAGCTGTTTGCTACCAAACACCTTTTTCCTATTAACTCAGCATCCTGCCCATCTGGGCAGGAAAAGGAGGCTGAAGGCCTGCCAAGCAGGGAGCCAGGTTCCTGCCAACAACCAAAGATTTATTATTACCTTTTTTTTTTTTTTTTTGTAGAGACAGTCTCACTTTGTCACCCTCAGTAGAGTACTGTGGCATCGCACAGCTCGCAGCAACCTCCAACTCCTGAGCTTAGGTGATTCTTTTGCCTCAGCCACCTAAGTAGCTGGGACTACAGGTGCCCACCACAACGCCTGGCTATTTTTTTGTTGCAGTTTGGCCAGAGCCGGGTTTGAACCCACTACCCTTGGTATATGGGGCTGACGCCCTACCCTCTGAGCCATAGGCGCTGCCCAGATTTCTCATTTCTAAGGGATGGAATGAGCCCTTGGGAGGTGACCAAGGCCACAGCTAGCTCCTCCCTGTTCAGCACTGAAGACTGACGTGTGTAACGGGTGTAAAGGAACTCGGAAACAGCCTGCAGTGGAAAGTTGGATCTGAGAGTTGTGGCAGGCAGTTAAGGGAGCAGACAGCTGTGAGGAGAGTGAGACTCAGAGGACGTGGTGGAGCATGGCTGCGAAACTGCAGTTCCTGGCTTGCTTCATGGGAGCCATTTGTTTCCTCCATGGGGTGACTACAACCCAGCATCATGCAGGTACCAGGGCTTTGGGGTGAGTGGACAGGATTCAGGGAAGGCTGTCAGTTGACAGCAGTACAGTTGGCTCTGAGCCTAGCTGGGCATAGTAAATGTGGGCATTGATGGGTACCAGGCTGATATGTGCAATGGTGGTAATGGTGTGAGCCTCATCCCCAGAACTAGAAAGATCTGGGTGGCTCCTCGGGTAATAGCCCTAAGTGCCCTTAATGCTAGCGGTGACCAGAGTTGGGCCTTGGGTTTATTCCAGATGATGCTTACAGCAGGGTCTCTTGACCTGCCCTGGGCTTGGGAGAATCACTGTAAGGGCTAGACAACACTGCAGGGTGTAGGACGGAGAAAGCTGCAGTAGAAGCTGCCCAGCTTGGCTCTGCCCTCTTATCTTGCATAGGGTCCACTAATGAGGAGCAGGGAAAGAATAGGCTTTTCCCAGAGGTCCTCATCCTGTGGGGAGGGTCACTGGCACTGTTTTAGGTGACACTGTCCCCAGATGATTATAACAAACAGAAGTGGGAGGGGAGGGGTCTTGGGATGCTTTGGCCTGGAGCTCTTTACCTAGGGCATTGTGCAAGTTAAAGGAGTCCTGGGCATTTGTCAAGATGGTCATTGGGCTTGAGATGTTGCTTTTGACATCACAAGAACTATGCCTGAGAGGGGGAATGTCAGTGTGCATGTGTGTACATGTTTGGGAGGGGAGAAGGGGACATGAGATGGCATTCCTGCCATTTGATAGATAAATGAATTACTAGGGACCCCTACCAGCTGAGGGCCACTTCTGGGAGGCTGGGGTGTTCAGAATGGAGCATGGCAGTGGCCTGACTCCTCTCTGCTGCCCCAGGGCAGCTGATGGACAGCACCAACGTGGAAGGTGGCCTACAGGAGCCAGAGGCCCCGGAAGTGATGTTTGAGGTCTTTCCTCCCAGCCTGGGACATGGGGGTGGGCATGTCCAAGGGTCCCTAAGCTCAGGGTTGGGAAGGAGGGATGTCTCAGGGTGGGCCTTATGGAGTGGGGGGGACCTGGCATGAATCCTACTGCTTGCTTATGCCCCTGGCCCATTCTTGCTCCATGCCCTATTCCCAAGGCCATAGCCCACTCCTTATAAGTCTCCCCTTACAGCTGCTCTGGGCTGGTCTGGAGCTGAATGTCATGGGGCAGCTGCATATCCAGGATGAGGAACTAGCATCCACACATCCAGGCCGCCGACTCAGACTCCTCCTGCAGCAACATGTGCCTAGTGACTTGGAGGGTTTTGAGCAGCGGCTACAGCACTTCCAGAACCTGCGGAAGGGGCCTCCTCTTAGCCATTGGGACTTTGAACACCTGCTCCTCACAGGCCTGTCCTGTGTCTACCGGCTTCATGCAGCTAATGAGGCTGAGGAGAGGGGTCGTTGGGTCCAGGTCTTTGCTCTCCTAGCACAGGAAACACTCTGGGACCTATGCAAGGGTTTTTGTCCCCAGGAACAGCCCCCATTGCTAGGGCCCTGGGCCTCCATCTTTGACCCCTTACCCTGACCCTCCCCTTTAATTCCCATTCCCTCCTCCCATTTCCCCAACCCTCCCAGCTAGACCCATCCTGGGCAGCAGGTACATCTGGCACCTGGTTCTTCCCACTGTGTTCAGATTTCTGGTCTTGGTCATACCCTGGACACCCCCCCCCCCCATATTGTTCCCTGGACCTTGATATACTAATAGCCCAGGCTCTGGGTCCCAAGGAGCAGGTAGAGAGCTAAAGGGACATACTTGCAGGCTGTGTGTGTATATATATATATAATGTGTGTGTGTGTGTATGTGTTCAGGAGTCAGGGGTAAGGCTTGAGAAATGTGTTTAAGAGATGCTGAAAGGGAAGCTGGCCACAAGTAAGTCCAGGTCAGATCCTCTGACTACTACCCTGGGAGTCTGTGACGGGTTCTGTGCAAATTTACAGGCACCCTGCAAGTGCTCAGCACTCAGTCCTAATTTAGATACCCCTTTAAGCACAACCAGGGCTCTGGGGTCTCCAAGCCCCCCAGTTCACCATCTGGGCTGGGAGAACAGATCGGACTTACTGAGTTCTGTCTGTTGGAGGAGTAAAAGAAAGCAGGTGGCAGAGCATTACCTCTTGAGGGGAGGGAGGAAAAAAATATCTTGGTCCATCTCAACAATCCTCAGATAAACATCTGAGGATAGGGAGTGAGGCTGGGAGAACAATAGTGAGAAAAACAAACTGAGGTGGGCTGGGGGAGGTGTAGCCCTGATTCTCTGTAGCTCTTCCCATAAAATGTTCTGTTCTGGCTTCCTGGAGCCTGTGTCATTCTGTATCAGAGTAAATTATCTAACCCCTGCCCTGAGCAAATGACTTTATCATCCTGAGAGGGCAGAGGTCAGGGCAACTCCTCATCCATTCCTCTGCCCTACCAGGAAAACTAAAAACCATTTCCAGGAATCCCATGCCCTCGTGGAGTAAGGAGCTTCTGTCTCAGAAGGGAATCGGCCCTGGCCTAAGAATGAGGTTCTAGGTCAATCCGGAAGAGTCAAAGGGGTGGATTGGACAGGGACATGAAGGGGAGGCCCATAACCGACTAGGTGAATGTGGTTCATCAAATTTCCACCTCTTCACTCTCCCAAGTCCTGACCCAGTCTGGCCCTCTGACCTCCAACCCCCACCATGGGCCTGTAGACCTGCAGTTGTCAGCGTCTTTCTGGTCCCAACCCGGATCAAAGACATCACAGTCAAGACAGAGACAGGACTCTGGGCTGACAGCGCCAAGCAGGCCCACTTTATTGGCAGAGTCCAGCGAGCCGGGGAGGCAGGTCAGCGTGCTCGCACCAGCAGGCTTATCTGGCCGCAGTCCCGGCTTGGCATGCACGCCCCTACGCCCCCGGCCCTCCGAGGCTCTTTTCCCGGCCAGGGCTCAGAGCTCCGGGGGCCCAAGGCCCAGCGGGCTGGCGGGCGTGAGGTCGGGGTACACGAGGAAGCCGGAGAAGGTGATGTACTTGCCATGGTTGCTGTAAGCGCCGTAGCCGTCGTGGTCGTGGCTGAGCAGCCACACGGCGTCACCGCGCTGCAGAGGCAGCATTACACTCTGGCTCTGCATCTCGCGGCGCCGCGACGCGCCGTCGTCGTAAATCATGGCCTGCACCTCGTCACGGTTTTTCATCAGCTTCACCGACAGCGTCTTCCGCGGCAGCTTGCCCAACGTAAAAGAGAAGAAGTAGGCGCCCGGCAAGCGACAGCGGAACACTCCGGCCGCCGCGTCGAAGTCGCCGCCGATGTTGACGAGCTCAGTGTCGAAGGTGAGCGGCCGGTGCCGCGGCCCGGGGCCCGCGTCCGAGCCCACCAGGCTGCGCGTGCGCGCCGCCGAGAAGGCCGAGCGCGGCTCGGGGGGCGCGGGCGGCCCGCGCGCAGGCGCGTCGGCGTCGGCGTACACCAGGTAGCCGCTGAAGGTGGCGCCCGGCGCGCCGAGCGCATACTGCGGGGCGCCGTGCAGCCGCAGCCACACCGTGTCGCCGTAGTCGAGCTGCAGCATGGCGCTCTGGCTGGCTGCGCGACGTGCGCCGGGCCGCCGCTGCTCGTCGAAGGCCAGCGCCTGCACCTCGTCGCGGTTGCGCACCAGCATCACTGACAGGCTCTTGTGTGGGGCTTTGCCAGCCGTAAAGGAGAAGAAGTAGGCGCCGGGCACGCGGCAGCGGAACTGGCCGGTGGCCGCATCGAAGTCGCCCCCGATGTTCACATACACCTTGTCGAAGGTCACCGCCATCTCCGATGTACCCTCCAGAGGGGTGGTGCGTGCCGCTGAGAAGGCTGAGCGCAGCTCGGAAGAGCCCGAGCCAGGGGCCAGGCCCACTGCCCAGCAGGCCGCTGGGCCCAAGAGGCCCAGCAGAAGCGGCAGCATGGCTCCTGAGAGGAGATGGAGAGGAAGGACAGGAGGCTTGGGCAGGGGCCACCTCCAAGCGTCCAGTCCTCCGCCCTCTGAGACTGGGAAACTTGAGTTCTCTTCCTAGCCCTGCCTTTGACCCATAACTAAGTCTCTGTTTTCTTACATACTTGAACTAGGCCAGGGGTTCTTAAACTCTAGCGCCTCAGTATCACCGGGAAGGCTTATTAAACACATAGGTGGCCGCAACCCCAGAGTTTATTTAGTAGGTCTGGGATGGGACCAGAGAATTTTCATTTCTTACAAGTTCCCAGTGATGCTGATGCTGCTGGGTCTAGGGACCACCCTTTGGGAGCTGTTGAGTTAGGCTAGTGATTTTCCAAACACTGAAACCCTTTTCCCAAGTGAAAGCTCACACGCCTCTGTGAGCTCACACAAACCAGCGGAAATGCTCTGGCTGTGTGCTAGGGTCACCTCTGCCTCTCTCCAGGGGCCCTGGCAATACAGCAGGTGTTCAGGGGTCTCTTAATTTCAGCCTCCAGATGGCTGCATTTCCCTGTGGCTATTTTTTGGTCCTTGGCCTGTCCCTCACACAGGATGGAAAAGGAAATAACTGCTCCCTGACCCCATTCAGGTCAGCTCTCCCACTAGACACCGGGCCTCTGCCCTTAGGGGCCCATTGTGCACTGGGGATGCAGTGCCAGAACAGTTGGGCTTTGCAGTAGCTCCCTCTACCATGTAATCAGTGTAAAGGAGAAGGCGAATCCTTCCTATATGCTTCGCTGCTGCTAACTGAGGAAAAGGAAAGTCCAGAGGCTGCTAGGAATAAGGATGGGGGAGCAATTCCAGCAGGGGTTTGGCAAGCTATGAAGTCAGAAACTTTGTTCCTTAGTAGTAGCGGAGAGGACAGATGGCTAGTTCTGGGGCTAGAGTCCTGACACTACCACTTACATGCTGTGAAAACTTAGGCAAGTTCCTTAACTTCTCTGGGTATGGCTTCCTTGTAAATGGAGGGAATTGGGGGGAGACCTGCCTCACAAGTTTGGTGTGAGGATGCTGAGATAACAAGTGTGAACTTAGTGTACAAACAGCCATGCTACACAGGTGTGCAGAGGCTTCTGTTCTTGGCCCTGAGAAAAGGAATCGGACCCAATTCTTCACAGAGAGGTTAGGGACTCAGTAACTCCTACTGCTGAGAGCTTGATGAAGGCACTACTTAATTAGTAGGGCATGGGCTTTGGGGCTTGATACCCAAAGTGGAGACAGGCTGGTATGAGGACCTCTTTAGAAAATACCCTGGAGTGTGTATAGCTTTGTGTCTCTTAGAGACAGTGGGGGGACTGCTAAGAAGGGTTGACAGGTACATCTATGCAGAGGTGTCCAGCACAAGAATTCTCACCTGAGGGTAGGTAGGAGCTGGAATCTAGCTCACATTCCACTTGCCCAGCTGTTGGAGGGACACCTGGGTAAAGTGTGCCTTCTAGTAACTCTAATAATAAAAACCCCAAGTCTACAGCCCATCCAAACACTGTATCCTTGCAGAGAAAGCATTTTTTTTCTAATTTTCACAAAGAAAATCTACAGGTTAACAACACCCTTGGTGGCGGCGCCAATGGCTAAGTGAGTAGGGTGCCAGCCCCATATACCGAGGGTCGCAGATTCGAACCCGACCCAGAACAAACTACAACAAAAAAATAGCCGAGCGTTGTGGCAGGCGCCTGTAGTCCCAGCTACTTTGGAGGCTGAGGCAAGAGAATCACCTAAGCTCAAGAGCTGGAGGTTGCTGTGAGCTGTGATGCTACAGCACTTTACAGAGGGTGATAAAGTGAGACTCTGCCTCTTTAAAAAAAATACACTTAGTGAGGGAAGGGAGGAGGGAAGGAGCCCATCTATAGTGGTGAAGACTGCACCTCACTGTCTGGTGCATTCCCTTCTACAGAGCTCTTTTAGATGCATCTGGTCTCTGCAAACCTTCAAGAAAGGAGGGGCCTCTCCCATTTTATAGATGGGAAAGCTGATCCCCCAAGGAAGGGAAGCATTTTGGCCCAAAGTCACACATAAAGCAATGAGGCAAGCCTTGAATCGAGGTTTTTTAAACTCCAAATTCAGTGTGCCTGCCTCTCCATCACCCTTACATCATAGACAGGTATCTCGAGTCAACTTGTCCTCTGCCTCAGTTTCCACTTTTGCAAACAATAGAGCTTTGGGATTCAGGGGAAAGGAGAAAGAAAGCAAAACCAAATAAAAGCAAGCAAACAAAAAACTCTTCAGCGTTTTGTCTTCTGGGAGCATTGGGAACAGCTCAACTCTTCCTGGCCCTGCTCCTTCCCCAGCAGGTCATGCACCAGACACACCTGCCCACCCTGCCCCCAGTGATCTCCCTGCCATGTCTACTGCAGCCCACTAGTGCCAAAGGGTCTTTTTATGTGCCTGGTACCCAGCCTCCGTTTCACCCACCAGTGCCCATTTTCGGGGTCCCTGGGTCCCCATCCTTCCTGAAACCCCTCCCCTGGGCGGGTCAGAGGTGGGAGGGAGACAGAGGGTGTCATAGCTCCAGGGATGGAAATGGCTGTCCTGGCTCTGTCCAGGTGGGGCTCAAAATAGACATATTCAGAGAGAAAAACTGGGACACAGCTGGGCTGACGACCCGAAGTGCCAAACCATGTCAGGTTGAGGGGACCTCAGAGTCCCTCTCCCAGCCACTCTGCAGGTAAACCCTCCCTCCAGCCTAGCTGGAACCACCTTCCCCACCTACCTCGAAAGCCCTTCATCCTCTCAAGAAGGTAAACCCACTTTCACAGAAGCCAATCAATCCTTTCTCGTGGAAAAGATAATCACCTAGAAAGGGTACCCAAACCCTCTCTACCCAGACCTTCCTACCATCCATCCCTTCCGCGTAAAAGCCCTTGAGCCTCTTTCATAAAAGGGCTCGCAGGTCCTCCTTTCAAGGAAAAAGGACCCACTTTCACCGAGCTTTCCCTTGTAGCCTTCCCCTCCAACCCGCCCCTCCCTGCTTCCAATAAAGGGAAACCTTGGATCGCCCCTCCCCGGAGCTGCCCTCACCTGGAGGGGCGGCAGGCGGGTCAGGTTCCGTCCGAGCCCGCGATCCGGCTGCGGGCTCCGCGCGGGTGCCGGGGCTGCGCACAGACCGCCCGCGCTGCGGCGGGGCCCGGCCTGGCGGAGGCGGCGGGGGCTCGGGCTGCTCCTCCGGGCTCTGAGACGGCAAGCAAGACGATGGGGGGCCGGACGGGTCGCGAGGGAAAGCGAAGGTCAGTTAAGGAGGGAGCCTAGCGAGCCGCAGAGGCGGGAGGAGAGGCAGTAGCGAGGCAGAAGGGGGAGAGGAGGGGAGTAGGGAGAGGGAGGGGCGCGCCGAGGAGGGGCAGCCGAGCAGCAGGGCTCAGGGGCACCGCACGGAGCCTGCGCCAAGCGCTGGACCCTTCCTTGTCCATGACCTCTGTCCTCTAGGCATCATTAATTCAAGTTAGCAGATGAGGAAAGTGAGGTGCCAAAGGGGAAACTGAGGCCCGAGGCAGAGGACAAACTAGGTGTGGGTCACTCTACAGACCAGCTTCCTCCCTGGTTTGGGGAAACAGGGCTGCAAGTACAGTGGAAGGTGAGATTTTGGCTGGGACAGATGTCCAGGCTGAGTGGCCTTGGAGGAGGGTGTCTGAGGGAAGAGAGGATAAATGGGTCAATGTTGCCAGTGAAGGAAGAGCTTGAAATGACCTAGTTTTTTCTCCTCACCTGCAAATCGGAAAATGACCATAGTCCCTTAGGAAAGATCAAGTCTTCAGGCATCAGAGCATCAACTTGTGTCCTCCTGGGAAGAGGGTAAGGAGGAAAGGTCCTTGGGGCAGAATTGAATTTTCTGCTGGAAAGTTTATGCCTGTGAGAAGGGAGAGGGTTGAGAAGGGCAAAGACAGGGCTAGAGGGATCTCTGGAGAGAGAAACTGATACACTGCCTAGCTGGGGCCAGGTTAGCAGGGGTCCAGCAGGGCACCAGGGTGCCATCTTCCCACTTTAACACTCACCAGAAGCCTGGCTTCCAGTGGCCTCCACTCAGGATGGATCCCATGACAGGAAGGTGTGGAACTAGGACTCCCTTCCTGTAAACTGCTGTTCTTTCCCATTATAGCCTTAGAGGTGACCACCTGCCTGATCCTCAGCAGATGCTGACTGAGCTCCATTCTTAGCTGCCAGCAGTTGGGTGTTCCCAACCTACCCCTGGTTGACTGAGGAAGCTTGAGTTCTAGTCTTTTTATTTATTTATTTATTTTTTGAGACAAAGTCTTACTTTGTCACCCTTGGCACAGTGCCCTGGCATCATAGCTCACAGCAACCTCAAATTCTTGGGCTTAAGTGATTCTCTTGCCTCAGCCTCCCAAGTAGCTGGGACTATAGGTGCCTCCCAAAATGCCCGGCTATTTTTTTTTTTAAGAGACAAGGTCTCGAACTCATGAGCTCAGGCAATCTACCTTTCTTGGCCTCCCTGAGTACTAGGATTACAGTCATGAGCCATTGTGCCCAGCCTTGGGCTCTTGTCTTAAATCTGCCACAGACTTGCTGTGCAGTTCCTGCATTTTTGTGTGTATGTGTGTGTTTTTTTTTTTTTTTGAGACAGAGTCTCACCTTATTGCCCTCAGTAGAGTGCTTTGACATCACAGCTCACAGCAACCTCCAACTCATAGGCTTAGGCAATTCTCTTGCCTCAGCCTCCCGAGTAGCTGGGACTACACGAAGCCACCACAACGCCTGGCTATTTTTTTGTTGCAATTTAGCTGGGGCCAGGTTTGAACCCACCACCCTCAGTATATGGGGCCGGTGCCCTACCCACTGAGCCACAGGCGCTGCCCCAGTCCCTGCATTTTTAATGTATTGTATCTCTTCTGAGCCAGCAGGGTGGGGCTGCCCTCTTGAAGATGTGATGCTAGTGGTGGGCAGGGAGAGAAGAATAGTAGATAATAAAATCTCAGTTGGGGTCTGGCTCAGGCTGAGAGCCATCTGACACTCTCTCCAGATCCACAGGAGTTCTCACCAGAGAAGTCAGGGTTGGGGTAGAGAAAGGGGACTAGAGAAGATGATGGCAGGTTTGCTTCAGAGTACAGGGGAAAAGCCACTGGGGAAGGGATATGGAGAAAGATAATGAATGAATCGAGAGTAGAGGGTGAGTGATACACCAGAATGGGAGTTACAAGGAGGAAACAGCAGGTTTGACAGCACAGTCCAAGCTAGGTTGTGGGGTTGTAGTCTCTGCTTAGCAGGCAACCACAATAATTTTTTTTCTTTGAGACAGAGTCTCTCTCTGTTGCCCTAGGTAGAATGCTATGGGCTCATAGCTCACAGCAACCTCAAACTCTTAGGCTCAAGCAATCTTCTTTTTAATTAATTAATTATTATTATTATTTTTTGAGACAAGAGTCTCCCTATGTCATCCTCAGTAGAGTGCTGTGGCGTCACAGCTCACAGCAACTTCAAGCTCTTGGGCTTTAGTGATTCACTTGCTTCAGCCTCCCAAGTAGTTAAGGACTACAGGTGCCCACTCCAATGCCTGGCTATTTTTTTGTTGTAGTTGTCATTGTTATTTGGCAGACCCAGGCTAGTTCGAACCCACCAGCCCTGGTGTATGTGGCTGGCGCCCTAGCCTCTGAGCTACAGGCCCTGAGCCTCTCAAGCAATCTTCTTGCCTCAGCCTCCTGAGTAGCTGGAACTATAGGCACCTGCCACAATGCCCGGCTAGTTTTTCTATTTCTAGTAGAGATAGGGTCTCACTCTTGTTCAGGCTGGTCTTCTAAGCTCAGACAATCCACTCACCTGGGCTTTCCAGAGTGCTAGGATTACAGGAGTGAGCCACCACACTGGGCCTGAAAACTTGACTTTGAAAGGAGAACAACCATACCCGGTTCCTCCTGCAGCTAAACATTGACAATGAGATATAAACAGAAGTAACTGGGAAAGAAGCTGCTTTTTTTCTTTTTTTTTTTTGCCCAGGCAGGGCTTTAAAGGGCCCATCTCAGCTGGGAGGCCCACTCTTTCTGCCTTCTTTTCCCCCTTCTGGGAATGTGCACATGAAGACTGAAGCTTCCAGCCAGGAGACAACAGTGAAGTATTTTAAGGTACAGTGTTAGGTAGGAAGCTGAGATGAAAGAGACCTTGCCCTGCCCTCAAGGAGCTGATCATTTAGCGGGGGCAGCAGGATGTGGATCGTAGGCAGAAAGAGGTCAGTGCCAGAAGAGAGCCACAGAGGGCTATTGGCTTGAGGAAGGAGAAATTCCAGCTTGGGAGTACAGGGGATCAGGGAGACTGTCATGAATGGGGCTATTTCTAAATAGTGGTGAGACAGAGGTAGAAATGAAGTAGTGAGGGGGTGGGATCCAGCTAAAGGTAAGAATGTGAACAAAGGTGTGGGGGTGGCAGAGCCGGGCATGGGTAGGGCTGGGTTGAGGAGGAAAGGGTTTGTGAAGTGAAGCTGAGGCAGGTAAGATGTGTGGGGCTTAAATGCTTAGCAGAGGAGCTTTTATCTTGCAGCAGAAGGGAAAGGAAGTGCATTCAGAGTCTATTAAGAAGATTACTCTGGTTGCAGATTGAAAGACAGGAGACAGAAGAAGACCAGAGAGCAGGCAGATGGGTGAGAGAATACTGTATGTATCTAGATGAATCTGAACTATGCAGGGGCATATGAAAGGAAAAGAAAGGAAAAGACAGATGGGAGAGGGACTGAAGAGAGGAGCCTTTCTGACAATGACAGAGAGAGAGAGAGAGAGAGCACCCAACCTCACAATTTAATTAGCTTCTTGGTTTACCAGCAGATTATAGGGGAATTAGCAGAGCTTGGAGTCTGGGGACCTTGCTGGGAGTTTAGGGAAAGTTAATGAGAAAGACAACAACATACCCCAGGGAGAAATGAAAGAGGAGGAATGTTAGTCAAGCAGAGATGCTGGCAGGAGAAACAGATGTCAGGGTGCTGAGTCCCTGCCTTCCTTGGAGATTGCAGCCCTCCGGGGTGGCAGAGTTTAGGACTCCTGGGTCAGACTCTTGGCCCCCATTTCTCCTAGTTCTAATTACTCTGAGCATGTGATACCTGACTGTGGAGGAGGGAGGCTGGGAGTAGCTGTGAGGACCAAGTTCCCAACTCTCTCTTAGCCCTTTTCTCAGCAGGGCTCAAAGGTCCCAAGACCAGACCTTAGTAGAAGGAAGAATTAAATCCCCAGGTCCCGTCTGTAGATTAATAGGGACATGACCTGCTCATGACCTGATATGGCAGACTGCTTTTTCCAAAGACCAAAGACACTGTGACAATATCTCCTATCCCACTCATTCTTCTTACAATCCCTTATCACTTCCAGGGAAAAGGAAGAGTTATTACAGGTCATAAAAGATGATGCTGGCCAGGCCCAGTGGCTCATGCCTATAGACTTAGCGCTTTAGGAATTACCGAGCCCAGTCATATGTGGGGATTTGGATAGGTGATAGGTCAAGAAAAATATTGTTGAGAGGCCAGACTTGGTGCCTCACGCCTGTAATTCTAGCACTCTTGGAGGCTGAGGCAGGTAGACTGCCTGAGCTCACAGGTTCAAGATCAGCCTCAGCAAGAGCGAGATCCCATCTCTAAAAATAGTCAGGTGTTGGGGTAGGTGCATATAGTACCAGCTACTTAAGGGGCTAAGGCAAGAGAGTCGCTTGAGTTGAGGTTGCTGTGAGCTATGATGCCAGGGCACTCTACTGAGGATGACAAAGTGAGACTCTCAAAAAAAATATAAAGAAAGAAAAAGAAAAATATGTTCGAGTATGAACCTGAAGGATTTTAAGTGCCAGGCTATGCCTTCTAGACTTTGTTTTTTTTGTTTTTTTTGTTTTTTGCAGTTTTTGGCTGGGGCCAAAAGTCTTGAACCCACCACCTCCGGCATATAGGGCCGGTGCTCCACTCCTTTGAGCCATAGGTGCTGCCCTGCCATCGAGATTTTATTCTGGAAGCCAACAGATGCCAATCCTATTGGACCTAAATTCTTTCACAAGTATTTTGTAATGCCTCCATTTGTATACTGAAATGAGATTCACAGAGATAGAATCTACTGACAAGTAACTTCAAAAAATCAATAAAAG